ACGTTCGCTTGCGTCGATGAGAACGTTGGCCACTGCGTTTGCGTCGACGGCGGCGCACATATTTGCGTTGAAATCGGCTGTGAACCATAAGCTGTATTGTTTAGCCAAGGCGTTGTAGAGACTGGAAACGTTGACCATTGCGTTTGCGTCGACGGCGGCGCACATATTTGCGTTGAAATCGGCTGTGAACCATAAGCTGTATTGTTTAACCAAGTCGTTGTAGGGAATGGAAACGTTGGCGGCGCCTGCGCTTACGTCATAGCATTCAACTGTCCATACGACGATGCGGCAAGTGATGTACCCGACAGCAACTGCGTGTCTGCTTGCTGTATGTTTGACTGCTTGAACGATAAAGTATCTCGCGACGACGAACTGCTCTGCCCAAAACTACTTTGCATGCCCATCGTGGTCACCAGAGCGTTCGGCATCGATGAACGAAGAGTCTGCAGCTGTGCCGTCAATAGCTCTACGGCACCACTCAGGCAACTCACCTGTTCCTCCAACTGCTTCCTGACTTCCGAATCGTTACTCGCTGATGCATCGCTCCTTTCTTGACCAGCACCATCGCTGGGGGCAGCTCCTAGCGTCGTCATTTCTTCCTCGATATTTTTGCTTACCACCTCCTCGTCCAGTTGCTGTAATCTGCTAATTAGCTCCGCCTTGTTTCCGCTCGTCTTTTGCTCCAACTTTTGCAGTACACTTTTCAGCTGCATTACTGTGAGGTCGTTTAGGTTCATGACCACTTCTGATAATCTGTCACTCAAAGACAGATTTTAACAAGATGACCGTTGTTTATTTATTAATTTAATAAATATACTTTAAATAATTATACAGAGTTTATAATTGGCGTTTTGCTTGTAACCAATTGTAGCCAAAAACGACTTCTCAGAAAAACTAACAATGAATGAATGAATGAACACAAGTAAGTCAAAAGATGCTCGAAATAGCGATGGCAATCATCACCGGGATGACAGCTGATTGTGATGGCACTAATGATGGAGATGACAATATGCAGATACCAAGAGAATTAAATTGATTGAGCGCAATGGAAGAGAGAATTTAAAAAAAATGTAAAGAGAGGGTAAAATTTACCACCACCTCGTTAGTTAAAGGTTAACCTTCTATTTTACCTCTAATTACCTCGGATCTTCAATCAATGGTTAATGGAGGCTGCCTGCTTACGTCGTTTCGGGTTACCATGCTGGGTTCAGCATTGGGGGCGGCATGTACAATCTCCACATGCTAGCTTTAACCAACGATAGACATCTGGTAGCTCTAACTGACTACGTCATCGTGAGCGGGAGCGAGCTTTCGCCCACGTACCCAGGTCTTTGGATTTGTAGGCTGAACAGAACCAGTTGGCAATAACTACTCACATCGAGCACATATTTAACTACGTCGCGTATACATAAGTTATCAAACCTATAGTAATGTACATACCAAACTATACATAAGCTATAAAACGTGAACTTATTAAAAATAAAATAAATTAAACCCCAATTTAATCAAACAACAAAAAAAGAACCCCGTTTTCTATGCAGTCCAAACTGCACACCTTGAATGAAACATAAACATTCTTTGGATTTGTAGGCTGAACAGAACCAGTTGGAAATAAATACTCACAGCGAGCACATATTTAACTACGTCGCGTATATATACGTTATCAAACCTATAGTAATGTACATACCAAACTATACATAAGCTATAAAACGTGAACTTATTAAAAATAAAATATATTAAACACCAATTTAATCAAACAACAAAAAAGAACACCGTTTTCTATGCAGTCCAAACAGCGCACCTTGAATAAAACATAAACATTTGATGAATTATACGTATTTGTTTAAGACTTTTCAATTAAAATACAGTTAATTCCCTAACAAATACCATGTAAACCCAAGCTTAAGATTTTATAGAACACTTGAAGAAAAAAATTCATCAAAAATAAATTTTTTTTCTCAGATATGTTTTTTGAGTATACAGTTTTATAGCCCATTCAATTTTAACGTAGTAATGTGCAGGTTTTAAGTGGCTAAAAATTACCGTTGATTTTTTTAAATTATTTTGCCGAAGATGTGTAACGCTGCCACTAAGATTCAAAATATGTAAATATTTTAAGGAATTTCAAAAGAGCACTTAAAAGGGGAAAATTATATTTAGAATGGTAAATGGGGTACGAAAAATTGAGGTACTTAGGCGGGTTGGGTAAATAAGCGGGGAGGTACTTGAGAGAGGGATTTTCTTCAGATTACATTCAAAAATTCACATTGCCCATAAAACTTAAACAAAACTTAAGCGGGTTAGGTACTTAAGTGGGTTAGGTACTTAAGCGGGGGGGTACTTAAGCAGGTTTCACTGTATATATGTACATGAGCTTACACACATACATACATACATACTTATGTGATAGGAGCAATCACTTCAGGGTAACGCCCCCAAAAGTTTCCTGTCTTTTAGTCGGGTGTTCGGTATAAAAGCAGACGCTAAGCATATTTTGTGCAGTTTATGCGTATGTTTCGCTGACAGTGGATCGATTTCTTTTAGGTGTAACATTCATATACTAAAAGTGATTATGGTAAACTGTGCCAAAATTAATATGTGGATAATTTACAAGATTTCAAAAACGATACTGCTGATGACAATTGTGGGCGCGATTAACAATGCCGCTGAAAACTACAATGAACAACCACAATTTCAAACTGATAGCGGAAAATTAATTATTCGATCAGTACCATCCCGAAATATAACATTTCGCGTGAAAGGTGAAGGATGTATTTTCATTAATTCAGTTGATATACTCAATCTTGTGAAAAATAAAGATGCAAAGCTACGCCCACTTAATCAGGATGTGTTAACTACAAAGAGCGTTCGGTCACTCTTGGAATCGTTCAAAGAAGATTTGCACATTCTAGGAGCACGATTCTCATTTTTACAAAATCGGACCAGAGGCCGCGCACAGACATTAAATATCCGTCGTAGTTTGGGGAGGGTACGGCGAGTTCTTAGCCGTGCCACGCAAATCGAAAATAATCTGATAATAAATGAGTGCCAGGACGTAGACGGAAACTCTACCCGATGTAAGAATAGCGGTACTTGTTACGACGGCTACAAAGATTTCCACTGTGAATGCCCAAACGGATGGACGGTAAGGAGGCTGTGTAATCATTCAAAACAATTATAAGACATAATGTTTTTGTGAAATATTGCACACCTAATAGTGGTATTCATCTAAACCGATAACTTTCTCAAGCAGATATTCTTATAAATTTAAGCACTCTGTTATATGAACGCCCCATACTCTCGCTTCGTTTACACTTGCGACTAGTGTTGCCGTTTTGATCCAAATGGATCAAAATGATACGTTTTTCATCGAATTTTTAAAAGATACGTCATTATTATAGTTAGATAAAAGATATAGTCTAAGAGCTGGCTACGTAGCGGAAGGGGTCACTCGGTAAAGTCGAATTTTTAACATTCACAGGTTCGGTTGTTACCGATATAGCGAGAGGCAGGCCGTCAGAACTCTCACTGGAAGTATAAAGTGAGGGTCGGGGGTTAAACATGCAATTTTTATTTTTCGAAAAATAAGTGATGAGGTAAAGTTCCGAAAATTATCAATTTAATCGAAGACAACATAATAAAGTAGGGTAAAAATTGTAAGAAGCCTAAACGAAAGTTAAATAGTCGTCAGAAAGTGCTCATGTTGCAAAAAATTTGGTAAAAATTTGTCACTAGGTAAACATCTGACAATTCATATACTTATTTTGTAATTCAAATGAAATTATTTGCAAATTGTCAGAAGTCTAGGTGGAAGAATAACGGAGATATTCCGATAGTAAAGGCGTCGGTGCTCCACTCAATCCATCATTATTTCTCGTATTTTTGTATTGTATTCAGAATTTTTAGGAAAAGTCTAACTATGCAGTTTCATATCCCATTTAATTTTAGTAAAATAAGTAAATATTAGTAAAAAATAGATAGCCCAAACTCTTCTTCTCGTGAGAGGACTGTGAAAAGGTTCATTTTTATAACATCCCCCAATATTTCCACAGCGACGAAAATCTTATTGGGAGATTTATTGAGCAAATTTTTGTGACCTTTTTTATTTAACAAAACAAGCAAATATTTTAGATTTTTAATATCTTTTTAGTTATTTAGTGTTAAAAATTACCATATAAAATGTTTTTTCTTGCAAACACTATAATTTTTTAATGTGTTTGCAGGAAATCCATTGAAATTAAATCCGTGTATTTGGTGCGTATCTAGTGGCAGCTCGCTATTTTGCTTGTCAGCTGTTCAGTCCAACTTTATTTGACAGTACTGCCAAGCAGCGATCGGACTATAAAAAAAATGTGTGTGGTAAAATCTGGAAAAAAAGGTGGTAGATTTCAAAAAAATGTGGTAGATCTCAGGTTTTCGATCAAGTTTGGTACAAAAATTAAAAAAATTCTGCAAGGTTTCACCTAAATTGTAAACATTTTAATTAGAATAAAAAAGTGCAAGATGAAGTTGCAAAAAACTGCTCTTAGTTTTGTTAAGCAGTTCCTTCCATATCAAGATATTTTTCGAACATATTTTGAGAGATTTCCGCAACTTTTCGGAGTGCTGCCAGCGTTTCTTTTTATCACATCACGATGTAGCGAACAAATGTGGCACGTTCCAGAAACCGCTACTTGGGATTTGCCGATTTTACAAATCCTCAGGAAAAAGTTAAAAAGTCTTAGGAACTTTAGACGCACTGAAATTTGCTAATACTTTCACAAGAATCGCTATTAATTCTTTTTATAAATCATATATTTTGCAATTTAACACAATAAAACCACGTTTCCTGTCGAAAAGTTGATTATTGAGAAAATTTACTATTTACAGTTTATTTTATCCTCCCATTCGGCTTTGTTGTTAATGTTTATTGCTGGACAATTTGTGCTCTTAAGAATTAAGAAAATTATGTCGAACAAAAATAAAACTACTCAAAAACGCGAATATGTGGTAGATTTCAGACCTTGTGTGGTGTGGCCACCACAAGTGAACGATGCTTATAACAGCCAGTGATCGGACTTCTACCACATTGTGGTAGATCTGCCACTTTTTTGAGCATCTACCACTGCTCAATTGGCTGTATTTCGTTTAGGTATCGATACTACTCAGCCAACGCCGCTGCTCAGTCATACAAAGCAGCAGTGTTGATTGAGTATGAAACAGTTGAAGTTCAACCATGCCAATCCCTGGTATGAGTATGATAGATACCTCTTGTTTAAGGGTGGATATGACGTTCGGGGCATTTCAGTAAATATGAATGCATATAAGTAGAACATATTATGGATGGTGAGTGGGATATATTCAGTTTGATCATACTCACTGCGCTTCTCTGGTCCAGACCACCATTTAAGCTAGCTGCATTTTTTTGTAAGCGAGCGACAAAAGAACGCTCAACTCGGGTAAAATTTCCTTTTAGCTACTTAAGCAACCCATAATGTGATTAGTTTAACGGGATTTATATACAAAAACTAATTTAAATAAGTAATTATGCGAGGTATTTGTGTAATATATATACTCTTTTAATATATAAGTCACGTATAAAAGGAAGCAAAAAGTTCCCTCTCCACTTTCCCCTTAACAATTCACAATAGAGCAGTTTTTTCACTTACCAACACTACCCTTCAGGTCGCGTATTTTTTAACAGACCTGGCTGAGCTCGGATAAATAGCCGAGTTTGTTTTGTTGCTTTGCGTGTATTTCGTCATTTAAGCGAGTGTTCTTTTGTAGCTCGGTTGCAAAAGAATGCACCTACTATAAATGTAGCAAAGCTATCTATGGAAAATTCTAGATATCAACCTCGTTGTAGGCTTCATATCAAGGAGATACAATTAGAAGACTCTAGATGTCGCACCGCCAGAATTAGTTAAATATTGCGCCTAAATATATGCACTATTTATATACGTCACAGCGGAAATGGACGACACGCCATTTCTTTAATTGAAATAAACTGCTGCTATATGTATGTATGTACTTATGTATGTATGTATGTATGACTCAGCGGCTGACTATTGCCTTTACTACTGCGCCTAATAATATGCCGCAAATTTATTTTAAGCTGTCGTATGACAATTGTCAGTTTTATTGTTATGACCTACTGAGTAAGTGACAACGGCGAAACAGTGTTTATATTGTGTTTTAGGCGCAGTAATTGTGACAATAGTCATATGATGAATTTTGTCAGTGTTGTGGGAATAGGGCGGTTATACTAAATGTGAGCAAACAACATTTTCCTTGCATGGTCTTCTGTTCTCTTTCACAAGTTGAATTATTTTAATACCTATTGCAAAATTTTGTACAGACAAGGCTAAAAAGTAGAAAAAAATTAAAACGTTTTAATATACAACACTTTTATAAATGGACTAAAAAGTAGAAAATAATATTTCTCAGTCCCACAGAATTTGTTTTGATAACTTTTGATTTTTAAATTTTAGCAAAAGTCATTATAAACAATTAATGAGCGTGGGGCGCATGTAATACACTTGAATTGATATGAAAAGTAACATATGTATGTATGTGGGCATATGAATAGCGACCGCTTAAAATCGATCTCAAATTTGTACTTTCGCTGTAGAATGTTATGTAGTTTGACTATTGTCAATGAAATCGAATGCTTTGTACTGCATGCGCTCCACGTTTTCGTTTTCAATGTCATTAGTTGTTTATAACGACTTTTGCTGAAATTTGAAAATCAAAAGTTATCAAAACAAATTCTGTGGGATTGAGAAATATTATTTTCTACTTTTTAGTCCATTTATAAAAGCGTTGTATATTAAAAAGTTTTTTTTTTTAATTTTATTTGTTAAAGTTTATTTTATCCTCCCATTCTGCCTTTTTTTTAGTGTTTAGCGTTGGAAAATTTTTGCTCTTAAAATTAAGAAAATTATGTCGGGCAAAAACAAAACTACTCAAAAACGCGAATATGTGGTAGATTTCAGACCTTGTGTGCTAGATGCTCAAAAACGTGGCAGATCTACCACAATGTGGTAGAAGTCCGATCACTGCTGCCAAGTCAGAAAACGGGTTGAACTGAGATTCACGGAAGCAAAATTAGAGAGTTTCATATCATGTCATCCTTGGCGAGACAGAAACGAATCAACATCGCGGATAGGTGTTCTGTTTTGTTTCTTAAATACAAGGATGCTTTGCGAGAAATATGTATGTACATACATTTATACATATGTATATTGAAAATTCTTTTGGTGGCATACAATACCTTTTGGGTTGTACGCCCTCTAAAAAACTAGGGAATATGCTATTAAGACGCATTTTTACAATAAAGTTATGTTAGTTTTTATGTATGTACATTTCAAATAAAACACCTCTTTGAGGTAAAATTTTCGAGTGGCGAAAGCTGAACTAGAAACACAAAATTTATGATATCAATTTCGTGACGAGAATTATACGCATTTTTTAAGTAGACGGAATTTCGCAACGTTCCGAATAAATAAAAAAAGATTTTCCGTACGTTTCCAAGGCAGTTAAAAAATTCGTATAATTTTCGTCACGAAATTGATATCATAAATTTTGTGTTTCTAGTTCAACTTTCGTCACTCAAAAATTTTACCTCAAAGAGGTGTTTTATTTGATATCAATTATTTTGGGGTAGCAAATTTAAAATCGACCAAAATACAAACAATAATCTAAATGTTTTTTCTTCTCAAATAAATTGCTAAAAATGTTATCCAAATCTAAATTATGTATTCCAATCGATGTTTCGAATACGGAATAAAGCGAAAAGAATGATCATATCGTTGTATCAACTTGGTACCAACTTTGGATACAATAAGCAACTGTATTCGTCTAATTGCCTCGTAGTTTAATTGTTGTTAAGATTTCTACCGCGTGTGGGGCGCACACCTGTGCTTTTTTAGAAGTTTTACTTCTATCACGTGGACGGTGTTGCACTCGTGCTATTAAACTAATGATTTTTTCTTAAGTAGTTTTGCACAGTGGCAATTTATACATTTTATGTAAGTAGTAGCGGCACATTGGGTGAACTAAATGCATTCATACATACATATTTATGTACAACTGTAGGTAATATTGTATGCATCCTCCCAGGTAGGTTAAGTGCGGATGATAAACCCATGTAGCATAGTTAAATAC